GTAAGGAGAATTTTTGGGTTTATGTGTAATGTTATTTTATTTGGAGAATGTGTGATTAAAAATGAGTACTGTAGAAAATTGAAAATGAGAATGAGATAAAAAATGGGTGTCAAACGGGAAGGTGGCCTCCACGTGAAGTTAAATATTGCAAAAAAATGCAGGGCCCACCTCTCTTGTGTGTGTTGCAATTTTTTATGTCCACAATTTCTATACACAGCAAAACTCAATAAACTATTAGACCCCGTTTGATGGAATGGATCTTCCTAAGAAAAAGGAAAATAATTTCCAACTTTACCAAAAAGTGGTATTTGATTGCTAAAATTTGTTGTAAAAAAGAATTTCACTTTAATGGACAATTTTCATGTAAAACAAAGTTAAACGAACACTAAATTTTGATTTTAAAAAATGATTTTTTAGGAAATATTTTTTTTTTTTTTTTGTTTTTTTCACTCTTTGGCAATGGAAACAAATTTTATAACCAATTGTGAAAATAATTATCACTTTAATGGACAATTTCCATATAAAACAAAATCAAACGATCACAAAATTTAAAAATTTTTCGGATGGAAAATTATAACAATCAAACACATTTAATTAGCAATTCCCTACAAAATATTTTCTAGACAATTACTTTCCCTGAAATTCATTTTCTTTCCACCAATTTTCCACCCTTACAATCAAAAGGACCCTTAATTTTCCTTTTTGTTTTAGGATCGAGTAGGATTAAACAGAATTGAGATCTATTTTCACCTTATCCGTTCCACCACTCAAATTTTAATACCTCACTACATTAAATCTTCCTAGCAATTATTATATTTACTAATTATATTTTTCGAACTGTGCACTTCCAAAAAATTTGCTTTTGCCTCCTATAATTTTGAAAACCATCATCCATATAAATCCTTCCAAATACCTTGTACCTCAATCAAAGTCTTGGGGAACTGTTGGTGGTGGTTACTGGTTTGTGGCATAGTCACCCGGTCTACTATCTTTATCATGATTATGCTACTTCTTGATAGAACTGACATCTGCAACTTGAGAAGGAGGCGAACTGCTCTGATTGAGTCTCATAAACAAGGATCATGCTACACTTACAGACAACTGGTTTACAGATGTCTTACAGACACTCACAAAGATTTTTAATAATATAAAATTAAGTCTTTAAAAATACTATTTTACCCTTCTTCTTTATATTTACAAGATATATCCTTTATCTTTTAGTTGTTTGGTCTTTCAAGATTATTTCTTTCTATACTCCTATTTGGGTAGTTGGTTCTTAGAGTTAAATCTGAAATTCTTAATTCAGTATTTTCTTGTAACCAAATTAAATATTGTTGTTGTTCGTATTGATGATATTTTATAGTTTTTACTTTTTTATCCCACTTTTTTGTGTCTTTTGTATCTATTTCCCTTTTTAGTTCTTCCAAAAGTTTATTAATTTCTCTAGATCTTATTTTACTAGTATTTTCTTGAATTTTTTCAAATCTTTCAATATCTTTCCTTTCTNGGGGTGGGTTTTATTGTCAATTTGCGGTTTAAGTCCTCAATGTTCAAGTTTCAACTATTTTGGTCCATGAAGTTTTCAGTGACCATTACTGAAACCAGATGATACTTTAATGACCGTTAGTGCAAGTTTTAAACTCCAGTGACTGTTTTGTGATTTTGACGTAACTTCAGTGACCATTTGTGAAATTAACCCATTTTGAAAACCATCATCCATGTAAATCCTTCCAAATACCTTGTACCTCAATCAAAGTCTTGGGGAACTGTTGGTGGTGGTTACTGGTTTGTGGCATAGTCACCCGGTCTACTATCTTTATCATGATTATGCTACTTCTTGATATAACTGACATCTGCAACTTGAGAAGGAGGCGAACTACTCTGATTGAGTCTCATAAACAAACCGAGCTCACAAAAATGGAAATAAAAAAAATGTAAAACATTCTATGAGTATGTTATTATTGTTAAATGATAAAATCTCACGTCGAATAAAGATGAAAATATAGACGAATTTATAAGAGTTTGGGTTATTTCTCTTAATAAGGTTGACCTTTTAAGATGGAACCTCAATTTGTAACATGGTATCAGAGTCTGTTAAACTCCAACGAGCAATTCGATCGAATTAAGACTCAAGAAAATTGAACACACGTATTTCAAGATTAGTCTGGTCAAACGAGCCACCATCTTGAAGGGGCATGTTAAATGATAAAATCTCACATCGAATAAAAATGAAAATATAAACCAATTTATAAAAATTTGATGTACTCCTCTTAATAAAGTTGACATTTTAATATGGAACCTCAAATCATAAAAATTATAGTGTTCTATTTTGATGAATGAGTAACTTATAACATGGTAACTTTGTTACAAGGACTAGTCAGTGTTACACTCACTTATTGTTATATATTTTCAATTTTATATTATGCATTATAGAATAATTGAACATCAATACATCATTGTATCCACCAAGTGTCGCCCACGGGGCATAACTCAGTGGTGCAAATGATAGGAGTGAGATAGTTTCAGTTGAGCTGGCAGTCGCAGTGTGAGGGTTCGATTTCTGCATCTTACAAGGTATGAAATTGGACTTTTTATGGGCACCAGTATGGTAGCTCTTCTACCCTAGTCTATTGAGGCACATCCCGCGATTTACCTCCTCCACAATGCTCTAGGGACGGGGTGGTGGGGGCCCTCAAATTTGGGGTTCAACCTTTTTTTTTTTTGGTATCCACCAGTGTCATGCTGATTGTGGCATTTAATAGTCCAGCATTTAATTCCATAAATCATGTACACTAAAAATATTAGAGATGGATTTAATGTGATAGATATGTAATTAAGGGGTCACAATGTTTTAATTCTAAAAAGCATTAGAATGATAATCGCGTACAAACAAGAATGATTACAAATCGGACAAGAAACTCTAACGATTCATTTAAGAATAATCAATTTATGGAGAAGTTGGAGTATTACATTAGAAACTATAACGAATTCAGAGATTTGAAGTTATCTACGGTCCTTTGAGCTTTAGAGAATTTGTTGTTTAATAACCGATTTTAGTATGATTTTCAAATGAAATGTATGTTTTTATTTATAGGTGCGAGGGTAGAAATATGTTTGTTCAATTAACTTATTAAATATAAAAGAATTATGAGAACACCTACTTCAACTTGTATCCCTTTATAATTCGTTCATGTTTGTTCACGTTCAACGAAGTGGCGTTTGACGTACTAGGAGATCTATGCAAGGATACGGTTCTACGAGGGAGGGGCAAAATTTACATGCAGTATTTATTGAGTCTTGAAATTTCATCGTAAAATAGTGACTTGTTTGAAAATACCGTTTTTAAAACTCTACTGCCCATTTGAACTTTAGATGGCTATCTTTTCATTTTGTACCAATAAATGTTATGGAGAGGTCAATCAATAAGGCAAAAATGGTTTATTTGATTAAAGTAATTGGTTTCAATCTAAAACAAGTTTAGTCGAGCTAAAGACAAAACATTATAATATGCCAAACTACTCGAGTTCAAACTATGTTTCCCAACTATACTTTTTGACATGTTTGACAATCATTATTTAAAAACTCTTTAATTCACGTATTTATTTTCAACCACACGTTTATTCAATAAAATATTTTGAACGTAAATCCAAAATTTTTCTCTACTTTATAACCATATATTCTACAAAAAAATCGTTATTCAAAACTTCATTTTTATCAAAATGATTGCCTTCAAATAGGGGCTTTATGAGCACATATTAGCCAGTAAAAAAATTTAAAAATATATATATGCATTGATCCATTAATCCCCATATCACTACCACACGGAAATATACAGAAGGGAAAATTGCATTATTTCTTCCCAAAGTATCGTCAACTTAGAAAATTAGTCCTCAAGACTTTAATGGTGCGTTTAATTGCTAGCATGAAATTTGCATGAAAAGAAAATAAATTCTAGATAATTCAATTGCCTAGGACTTATTTGTATGAAAATTATTAATTAAATGTGTAAGATTGATTTAATTTTAAAATTAGAAAATATGATACTTGTCCATTTTCATTTGATGGATAGAAGAGAGTGTGTGGATCGAGAAGAGAGAGAGAGAGGGAGTAAATTTCCTGAAAAATAAAATCCAACTCCCCTAAAAGAAAATATTTTCCTTAATTTTGAGGTTACGTGACCAAAAGTAATAAAATATTTTCCATGAAAAAAAAAATGTCAATCATACAGTACAAAAGTAGGAATTTTGATTTAAAAAACACATTTTTCATGGAAAATATTGACAATCAAATGCACCCTAAAAGGAACAAATTGATCCTCAACCTTTCAATGTAGCTTCATAGTTAGTCTTAAACTCACATTTTTTCCGAATTTTTGCTAAACCGCCATGTAGCTCCCATGGAACCATGGTTCACTTCAAATTTCTGAGCACTAACACAAGTTAAAAAACAAAACTTTAACTTCCATGAAATTGAATATGTGCGTCGTAATATTTTGACAGAAATAATAGATTATTTCCATCAATGAAGATTAACTGTGCAAGTATAATAAAAGGTTGAAAACCAACTTGCTCGTCATGCAATGGCTCGGGGACCATGATGAAACTTTTCACGATCATAACGGACTATGCATACACAAAGCAAGGGGGAAGATGGCATTGGCTCAGTGATCCCTACAATTTCCACACGCAATTGGAATCCAAAAGGAGAACCAAGAATTTTGTACAAATACAAAGACTGTATATACACAAACTCGGTCAAAAAATGCATTTGATCTATCGATCCCTACCAGTTCCACACTAAATTGGAATCCCAAATATAAGAAATTTGTACAAATATAATAAATTGCATTGGTCCAATCATCCCTGCCAAGTATATAAAAGGAAAAGAATAAAAGCGTCTCCAAAGAAAAAATTAACAAACCTATAGCTGCTTCAATGCATTTAAATTGTCAACATACTCCAATTGCAAAAGCTATAACCAGAATCACAGTATTCCAGCTGCTACACATCAATAGGAGGACTGAAAACCGTTTCCTGCATTGAAGAAAACAACATCATATTCCTGTTGGCATAATGAACTATGTCACATGAACGAAAGATCAGCTAACAGAAGTAGGACTTGAAAACTTTTCGAAAACCTGATCACACACGGGACAAGTGTCACTTCTTTCCATCCACTCAAGAATACAAGCAAGGTGAAAATGATGATCACATTTTGTGATGAGTTTTGGATTCTCAGCATCGTATTCTGTAGGGAGAGAGAAAAAGTAAAGATTTACAAGGTAAAACAACAGTGTAAATCAGTAGTTGCAAAAGAGTAACTGATTCATCTAACCTTCAAGACAGATGGGACAAACATCTTCCTCATCCTGTAGAGATGAAACGAGAGGTTCACTGGACTTCTCAAGATCGTCTTCATTTTTTACTTTATCTGATGCTGTCAGTTCAATATTCAATTGCTCCTTTTCATCAGAGTCTGAGTTTTTTACTTTTGTGTCCAAAGTGCTACCAGAGTTAGTTTCCTCAGCAGATTCTGCATTTGTAGTCTCCACAGCCAGTTCGCTCTTGTTTCCAGAACTTTCTCGGTCCCGGGATGGAGTATGAGGGCATGCTACATGTATATCATAAGGTATCGGTGCAGGAGGTGGCCTGTAAGTGTCCGGGACTGAGGTATCAAGATTAGTATCGACCAAAAGCCCTGTAGAGAGAGCAGAAACTGTTTCATGGTGAGATGACAGAGGTTCACGCTCCTCTGACACTCTTGGATACTGCAAAACAAGGGGCATATCCACTTAAAAAATTAGACGATTTTGGTGAAGAACAGTTCATTAGGAGTATCAGCATAGACTACTTTTTATCATGATGGCATATAAACGTCATTCCAAAGAAGGGTAAGACTGGACTTAACTCTTATCACTACATTTTATTAGCATGTGTATATATACAGTTGTGTGGTTAAGTTCATTGAAAAAGGTTAATTTGTTTTTGCCTCATCAAAAATCCAATAATTGCGAATGCGAGCTATGCGACTCTGCTGCAGCATGCTAAACAGAAATGAAAGGAGACTATACAACTTGTTAGTGATTTCTGCTAAATAAAAAATGCAATGCATTACTACGTTATATTTTCAGCAGTACATTTATTGAATTCTTATATAATTTATTTCCAAATAATTGTTCAAAAATTACAGGCTCTAAAATTTCCAATAAATTTCAGAGACACTAAAAATGACCATTATAATAAATTAATTTTTATAATACAATGATAATTACAAAATCACTAACATAATTTACTACAAGGGAAGTAATTGCTAATTTTTCTTGAAATAAATAAATCATTGAAATGGAAGTAACTGAGAGTTTTGTCTTAAATGGAATCATAAAACCTACAGAACTATTAGAATGCCCTATGATGGGAAAACTTCCATTAACTATTCATTTCTGAAAACAAAAACTGATCAGGACAAATTTTCAAAAGTATCATTGTAAAATGTAGAGCAAAGAAGAGATATTCACCATGTAGTTTTTTAGTTTTACAAACCTTATGATAGGTGTCCGCTTAAATTCTATGGTAGATGCTAGAGTAAATGTATTTTTAATAGTTATATAAATAGCATTAAGCCCCTATTTGGTTCAGCTAAAAAATTAAATAAAAATCTAAGTGAAAATAACAATTAATTTTAACCATATATTTCATGGAAACTCACAACTTTCAACCACATATTCCATTAGTTTTTTTATCAAAATCTATTAAAAATCAGATTTTTATTTAAACCAAATAGAGGTTAAGGATGTGCATGATGGAATTGTAAAGAGTCGAAGATCTACAAACAGTAGGATCCGTTTGATTGCAAAGATGGAATATGGGTGGATAGCAAATGAATTACAGTGAATTAATTTGTCTATAATTTGTTTTAATGGGAATTGTAATTAANATGTTTTACAGGGAATTGATTTACTTAGAAATTGTTTTACTAGAAATTGTAATCAATTGTGTTTGATTGGTATAATTTTTCATGGAAAATGTTGAAAGTTTGGTATCCATTTGACTTCATTTTTTATGAAAATTGTCCATTAAAGTGATCATTTTTCTACCATTGGGTCTAGAATTTGTTCCAATTGGCAAAAAAAAATTATCATGCCGAATATCATTCGTCATGAAAATTGTCAATAAAAGTGATAAATTTTTTTACCATTGTGTCTAGAATTTTTCCCAATTGCTAATTAAAAAAAAAACTGGAAAATGAAAACCCAGCTAAAATGTGGGAAAACAATTTCTCCAATTTCATGGAAAATGTGCATTTGAGGGTGTAAGAGGGAAAAAAGATTCATGGAAAGTTTGTACTATCAAACAAGCCAAAAACTAGAAAATGGAAAAAAAATTTCTTACTTCCACGGAAAATGAGGGTTATCAAACGGACCCTAATACTAGAGAATTTCCTATTTACTAGAGGCTTGTTTAGGATGGATTTTTCTAAAATTATTTTCAATCACATATTTTACGTGGTCCACAAATTTTTTTCCACTTTTCAATCACATTCTCTTAAAAAAAAAAAAAAATTGGAAAAAGCGTTAAGGCTTCAATGTAGTCATGGATAAGTAATGAGGTATATCGAACCTAAGCTCCCAGGGTGGAAGCTTCTAAATAATATTGTTTTAATTGATGAGTTGCTGAGACTATGGGGCGGATAATTTGTAAGTTTAAATTTTGAAAAAGCGCTTGGAATCTAAAGGTATGTTTGAAAAAGCGCAAGATACATAGATTGTCATTTTAGTCCTGATACAGTATCTTGTTGTCCCAATCAATGATTAATTTAGATAAGTGCTACAACGATTTTATGTATTATAACGGGCATACAATTGGCATTACTAGAGGGGAGGTGATGGAGATAGAGATAAAAATTTCGATAGAAATTTAAAATAGAGATGAATTCAAATTATATTTGTTTAGATTAGATTAAATTGATTTTATTAATCCGATAAAGTTCAAGTTTATTAGATATTCTTTTGATTTTATCTTTTTGCTCTATATAAATAGGGTTTATTCATTTTAATAAGTATGCTTGAATATATAAATAAATTGATTTTCTCTTGCCCGCATTTCTTTTTCTTCTTGGATCCATTTTTTTTTTCTCGTTCTTCAATTGTTCATTGTCAAATTGTTGCATTCCTCATCAATTTGGAATCAGAATTAGTCATTTTCCTTTGGTCTAACATCTTTCATTTTCAAATCCAACAATACAACCATCAACCATCCACCTAAATACTTAATTCTCAAATCTAACATCTTTGCTCTATATAAAAATCGCTTATTTATTGTAATTTGTATCCTTGAATAAATGAATAAATTGATTTTCACTTGCCCTAATTTCTTCTTCTTCTTGGATCCCCCTTTCTCTTCTCATTCTTCAATTGTTTGTTGTCAAATTGTTACGTTACTACCAGGAGGTCTATGTGATAATCACAACTTGGAGGTAGAATTTTGTTCAAGAAATCTCACTTGATGGTTGTCAAAAATATGACTAAAGACTAATCCTGATCGAAGAAATTGCCACGACTTCAAATTATGAGACTCGATCTAATTTGTAAAAAGGGAATACACATCAATGCTTGGTTCAGATTAATGTAACAACCCAACTACCATAAAAATTGAACAACACAGGAAAAATAACCACCCAAATAATCAGAATACTATCATTACCTTGAGATTAGATTAAAATTGATGCAAAAGAGCATCTAGCCTGAGATAAGAAATAACACTTACATGATAGAATGGCGGTGAAGGGTTAAGTTCGGCAGTCTTGGGCACACAGCAGCAGCAACAGCCGCCCATGTCTATTTTTTTATTTTTTATCCACCTGAAACTACAAGCACTTTGCTCATTGTCTCCCTTCCCTACACATGAAATGGAAAAAAATCAGCAAAAAGCATGATCAAATCATTCTAAAAGCCAAAATGGAGAGATTGGCACATTTTAGTCATTAATGATATGGAGGTCACAAAAAGCAAAAGGCCGAGGTGATATAACATCAAATAACAATATCTTGAAGATAGACACAATTTGGAGTTCAAGAGGCTGAGTATCCATAGAATTTATAAAGCACACTTCAATTGTCTAATTGTCGAATACAAATAAGTTGTGATACTTACATATCCAATATCTAGATGTCATGGCAGAATTTGGGTGATGTATATTATGAAACTAAAAGCAGATAGCAGGAAGCCTACATTTTACAACCATAGGAGGTAAACTTAATCAAATTTTGGGAAATACATTTTTCTTTCAGAAGACAAAATATGATATACTGGTTGTAACACATTCCTCTTCTACTAATTGGAGCCCCATGAAGTACAAGAATCCAAATGTTTATCGATCAAAATGAAGATTCCGAAACCCTAGGAGTTGACTACCGTTTTGCTTCTGTTAGTGAGTTACTTTCCCAATCACCCAGAACACTGATTCATTCATCAGACTTGTATCTTTTTTTCGCACTTGATGACCACAACGCTCATATTCATGTCTAGAAACTGCAGGTGTGTGGAAATCAAGGGCAGATATGCATACAACAACATAAAAAATTTATTCAAATAAACTTCAGAAAAAGAAGCTGGAAATCAACAACAACATCGACCTTGATTCCCGTATGAAACCTGATAAGTGTAACATTAAGACCAGCGATGATAATATCAAGAAAATTCAATAAATTTCAAATTGAATTAGGAAAAACTACAAAGGACTTTTAACTGTGATGGACTTCAAAAAGAAAGAAAACAAAAGTGACCTGTTAATGGAAATTCAAATATTCTGCAAACAGAATACTTAAGAAGAATCTCATTACCACATAACAAAAGTTTCAAAATCATCCCCTAATCACAACAAATAACAACAACATAATGAATTAGTAAATGAACAAGTCTACAGATAATCAAAAATAACAAAACTTAGTCAAACACTAATTCCCTGCAGTAAATACAACTCTGACAACTTAAAGACGCAAGCACACAGGCATCAATACAACAGCCTCGGAAATCGACATAAATAAACAAACAGAAATGAAAAACAACAGTCCTTATACAGGCACAAACAACAATCCTTTGAAGCGTTAAAATCAAGCAGCTCAATCAATTAAAAATCTCAAAAGCCCTAACTAGATATAGAATCACTGACACATAAAATCCTTAAAACTTCACCAAATTCGTAGCTGCAATCAGCTATGGCAATTAAAAAGAATCAATCAATATCAAAAAAAAAAATAGAACAGAAACAATCGAAAAGTCAATCAAATTCAATACCCGCAGTTCAATCACACACTCATATGTACTCAACACATGTAACATACAAATAAATATATGTGAAGGATATGTACGTATACCTCGCGTTTGTGATGATTGATTTAGTGAAGAGGTGTGTGTGTGTGTGAGAGAGAGAGAGAGAGACAGAGAGAGACAGAGAGGAGGACGACTTAGAAAGTTGGCATCATTTGAACAATTTGATTTAAATATATTCACTAATAACTTTAGGCTTATCATACGATCGATCTTTACACGTCTTTTAAGTTTTAATTTTTTGCATTTTCACCTATATTTTCACGTTTTATTATAAAAAAGTCTTTACGTTTGACCGTTAGTGTGTATTTTCATATCAGTTCAATTTTTATCTAATTTCTCATTTAAAAACATAAAATAATAAATATATCCTCATATTTAAATAAAGAAAAAAAATATAACCATATTTCCAAGCCTTTTTAAAAAATGCAAATGAATTCCAAATAAATTATTAAAAATTAAAAATAAATAAAAATGGCTCTCTCTCTCTCTCTCTCTCTCGTCCACCACCACCATCATGGAGCCATCACCAATTCCTCCCAAATCCATCTTGTTGTTGCTGTCAAAACCATCGGAATTTCACCCTCCACCGGCCCCAATACTCGCTCAATCTATCACAATCAAACAATTACACAAATAGTTACAAATTCGACTCAAAATCAGTCACAAATACACCAAAAACCGCACGCTCAAGTTTGACTCCAAAACGTAATCAATTGGTGAATAATTTGGATCAATGGATGCTTACCCATTGAACTATGAACTGGATTTCAAATGCCCATGGAACGGAGCATGGTGGGCCCATGAATTGGAGGTGGCAGGTTGTTCGAGTTGGGTGGGCAGCGTGTGGCCGGAATTGGATTAATTTGGCTGTTAATTGGGGCAATTAAATTCACATCCATTGTCGTGTGATGTTGATGGGGATTAACATGTGGCAAATTATGTGAATCAATACCCTTAAACCCATGAATTGAAAGAAGCATGCTGACCACGTTTTTCGCGCACAACAAGAGGTATTCTAAGGCATATCAACGTCATATTGCAGGGGTAAACGCGATTCGATTTGGGCGGTTTGGACCATATTTTCAACTCAAATCATTTTATGCGGTTTGGAATTTTTTCAAACCAAACCAAATCATTTTATTTTTCAAACCGAACCGAACCAAACCATAAATTGCGGGTTTGTTCGGTTTTAATCCGCGGTTTACCTATTGATATTATAATAATATATTTAAAATAAGTTAACATATAAGTTTAAACAAGAACTAATAATATTAAATGTTAAATTACATTCATCTTTCCTACCCGTGAATAGATTATTTTCAAAGTTGGTTGCTAAAAGATATTAATAAAACGAATATATCTTTCTTCCTTTTTATTTACCTATTCTTGTTTGTTTTTCATATTATTATATAACAGTTGATAAAGATAAGAGTCACATTCTGCTGTAATAGTTTGGTTAAAATTTCTTTTATCCTACTAGTGAGTTGAAAAATAAGGACTGAACATGATATGTTTAAATAGACAAAGAATGATAGAGTTTATGTTTATTGAAAATTGACAAATTTTATTCTCTAACAACTTTGAGAAAGTAGAATGTAGTAGTACTACAACATTTTCACACAATCAATACACTATATCTTTCTTTTTTTTTTTTAAACCACAAACAAGTTCATTAATCACATATGTACATAAACACTCATTTTTTTAAAAATCTAAATCACAACTCTCAAGTGTATAATAAGTTCAAAAACAACAAATGAAAGAAAGAACAATGAAAAAATGACTTTAATAGGAATCTAAGACTTATCAAGAGAGAAAGATGTGATTTGGGTAGAAATTGACATACTAACAAGCAAAATGTGACTAGCGATTTGCGATTGGGAATCGCATTTTGTTCAATAGTGACAGGCAAACGTCAAATGTTTGAGAAATGAGAGTTTAGATTAGGGCTTCTGAAATTGTGGGCGTGATTTATTGTCGTAGTTTTGTGGAATTATAATTTGAATTGTTGAAAATAAATGTTTTTTTAATTTCATATGATTTGGGATTAATTTTAGTTTAGATTAGATATTGGGTCAGGACGTGTGTTGTGGACTTGTAAAATCATTGGCCAATAATGATGAACTTGCTTTACTTTAAATAATTATTTCAATGGGTTGATTGTAATTTGTATTGCTAAATTGATATTTTTTGTTAAAACGTAAAAATTTGTAAGTTAATAAAATTATTTTTTTAATTAAAAATTTTGAAAACGGTTCGTTTCGGTTTTATGTGATTTTTGAAAATTGAAACCTAAACCAAATCATTTTGAAACGGTTTTGTTCGGTTTGAGGGAAAAAAATAGCGTGTCCACGTGGACCCGAACCAACAGTTTCAAACTAACGGTTTCAGTTCGGTTTGCGGTTTCGCGATTTTTTTGTGCAGCCCCTATCATATTGTACTGTTTTTCATTATGCTTCTCCATAAGTATGGGTGACGACCGTGGGTATTGACGGAATGGCCGAAATTGGTGAAAAAGGCGTGCGATTCTTGGTGTAATAGTGGGTGATTTTGAGTCGAATTTGTGGATGTTTGTGTAATTGTTTAGTTGTAATGAATTGATGGAGTATTGGCACAGGTGAAGAGGTGAGATTCCGATGATTTTGGTTGCAGCAATAAGGGGGATTTGAGAGGAATTTGGTGGCGGCTCCATGGTGGTAGGGATAGTGGTAGAGGAGGAGGAAGGAGAGAGACAGGGAGGGAGAATTTTTTAATAATTTATTTTGGGATTTATTTGCACTTTTTAAAAAGGTGTTGGGGTACGGTTGCAATTTTTTCTTTATTTTTCTTGTTTTATTTAAATAACATGGTATATTTGTCATTTTACTTTTTTAATTGAGAAATTGATTAAAAAGACGTTTTCCACGATGAGATTTGGGAATATCGATGAAAATGCAAAAATTTGAAACGTATGGACGTTTTGTACCAATATGCCAATAACTTTATTATATTTTATTAATTACATAAAAGGTTTACAATTTTCTGATTAATGGAATTTTAAAAATAAGCCCATGTTTGGACTCCATTAAAATTAGTTTTTAGAGCAAAATATATTTTAAAATAGTGATTTTTTTAATGACTGCGTGATTTAAAAAGAAAGAAAATTTTTGAATTTACGTGTTATATTATTTTATTGAAAAATGTGTGGCTGAAAAGAAGAAGGATAAAAATGTATTAAAATTAAAATGGAGTCCAAGCAGAGGCTAAGAATGTGATGAAGAAAAAAGTCAAGGATATAAATGTGATAATAAATAAAAGTTGATGACCATTAATAAAATTAAAATGTTGTGTATTTATGAAAAAAATGTGGCGTGGATATGATCATATAACCACCCT